AGCCCTCCAGTTCCCAATAATCCTCTCTCCATATCTCCGGCGAAAAACACCAGGTTACCGAGGCAACAGCTGAGGGCAACTTGTTTTTTTGTAGTGTTCTGTGACAAAGTGCCTGAAGCATCACCATTCTAATTGAAATCGAGGTAAACCTGTGACCAAGATGGTCAGCGTGATGTGTGGGTGCAGAATAATGGCAGTTTCTTTTTTATTTAGAGGGGGGGGGGGGTTGTGATTATGCAACCATGGAAGGTTTAATTGACTATTCCCGCGTGCCTGCAGCCTCAGTCACACCATAAAGTGTGCCACCATTCCCCTCTGCACACATCACACTTGACTGCAATTTGTACCATGCACCTTGATTCATAATATATGCCCCCCACTCTCTTTGCCAACAACCTTCAAGCTCTTTTTCTAAGCTTATCTGGATCACGAACCACATCTGACAACTCACTCTTTGACTTAAAGCCTAAAATACCTCTTGGTCCTCTGCCAACTTGGATCAAAAGGCTAATATTTAATGCTTTTCTGTGCCGGTCGATCAAATTAATGCACATTATTCACTGAACAAACAATGTTCCGAGCAGTTTTGTAGCTTTAAGTACAGCTGTTGGCTTTCTTCAGCACCATTTGAGGTCTTGAATGTGTATAATCAAACAACCTCAGACATTTTAAGGAGTTTCTCAGGGTCTGCTGACATTCCGCCAATTCACTCCATCGTGATGCGACCCTTTAGGCTCCCAGATCAGATTATGACATTTTGACTGTAAACACCAAAGGTCAAAGTTAAACCCTGAAAAAAGGTTAGAGTTAGGGATGCATATCGCTGACTTTTTTACGATACCGATACCGATACCACTGAACGATACCGATACTCGACCGATACATATCGTGATACTTTCATGTTGCATAAGGGAAACATTTTATCATCCCGCAATTACTCCCATGAAGCGCTTTATGATATAGTTAACATGTCAAATGAATATTAAAATTAATTGTGGGACTTCAACCTTTTAGTACTGAACAAACAATGAAAAACACGTTTGACAACACAGGCTTGAAGACTGTACATTCCTGTACTCCGATGTTATGTGACAGTAGCACATGTTTTGAGAAGTTGGATGTGTCCCAGAAATAAACTTCTTGCAGTGGTTACAGACCCCACCATTCAGACTGGCAGTCATATGCAGCCACACTTTAGATTTCCGTGCTGACATCGAGCTAATGAAAAAACGAAAGCTAACCGAAAGGCTCAGACTTTCGGGAGGAAGGTGAAGGGCGTTGCTTGGCAATCAAGCCAATCACCGAAGCCTTTGCAAGACGCGCGATCTGATTGGCTGGCGGTTTGGGTGCGAGTTTAAGGATATAATCCCTCACTTTATAGAAAAATAATAATAATAATAATAATAATAATAATAATAATAAATGTGAGTATTGAAAACCGGATCTGATTTCGGTACGGTTTACCGTAGCCACCAGTAACCGGTATTTTGGTAATACCGGGAACCGGTATGCACCCCTAGGAAGAGTAGGAGAAAATAAGCAGGTACAAGGTAGCATTGTGTTCTCAACAACCTACTGTACAGTTGCATACGGATTCAAAAAGGAACATATGACTCATGCCTACAGCATGTACATTTAACAGAGGCTCTAATCTGAAAGGCTTAAATGGAATTCCAGTTCTGATTCATTCTTTCTTGATCTTTTTCTTTGCAGAACATGTACAGTGAGGGCGATTACCTCCTCCATTCTTTCTGCAAACGTGTGAGAAACAAAAGGTGAACATCTGCGCCGAAAATTGATCCTGAGCAGGTATTGTTAAGTGATGAATGTTAAGGATTCCTTTAGAGGAAAATATGTAAAACTGTTGCACAAATGTCTTTGTTTTGAAAAGACAAGCCGGTTGTATAAAACAATAAACGCATATATTACAGATCTTATCTCAAGGATATTTTCATCTGTGCAACTGTGGCCACTCCAACAGTGTTTCATCAAACAATCATCAGCGATTAGCTCTCAGCATAACGTACTTGTTGAAAATGTTTTATGCAGTTTTGGCAAGCCGGTTTAGCAGCTAAATCTCCGAGATGTGCTTTCACACAAAATCGCTCTTGTTAAGAGACTTCCAGGGAAATACAGTAGTACGACTTGTGTGTTTGTGGAGCTTTCCCGTTACAAATGACAGATACGGGGGAGAGACTTTGCACATGATTAAGATCAGTGACAATCAGAGAAATGATCGTAAATCATTAGGCGTCTGGAGGCAACATTATTCCTGTGTGAGTGGAGCTTCCGTGATTAATCTCCCGCCTCCCCTGCACATAAACGGGGAAATGATGGTAGATCAGAGAGCCAGAGAATGAGTGAGGTGAGTACAACTCTTGAAAGCAGCGAATATGTACGAGTAATTTTGGGGTCAATCCGAAAGCACTCAACAACATTAAAATATTCAATTTCTCCACTTCCTCCTACAAATTATCTTTGGTTGGGCTGGATAAGTGAAGTAAGTGTGTCTCCGGGCCTCTATTAACACAGCGTGGCCTTTCTTATTGTCCCGCCTTGTTCCACATTTCATCATCTTTGCCCCTCGTGGAGCCACGCTGTAAATTTCCTCTGAAATATTCGTGGTCATGACTGAGAAGATAATGGCTGAGGCCTCAATATACTTACAGGGCTCTTGTGATTACTTCCTGTCATGTGTGATCATAATCACCATCAGACGGTGGCTTGATGGCGTAGTAGCCCCATGTCCACTTGAGCTGTGTGGTGGATCTCAGTGACGCCTCCAAAACAAGCTTCTTTTAAAACAGCAGTGGAGGGTAAGCTTATTGTTTAGTATACTAATTTGGTTCCTCAAAATGTTGTTAACATTAATGCTAATTTATGGGCAGAATATTTGAGAGTGTGCTTTCCCCTTAGCACTCCAGGAGACATTAGCCTCGTTTATTTTGTAATCGCTCGAGATGCTTTGCATTTTACTGCACCATCATGCCTTACTCTGCCTCGAGGAACAATATGAAAATGGTAATCCTCGCAACAATCTGCTTCTATGCATGCTACCCGTTTCATTTGGATGCCTCTGCATCCAAATAAAAGCAATTACAAACACATCCTCCAATCACGACACTTCAGATGTTTGCAGCTTCACAATACAGTGAGTCGTAGAAGCACAACATCTGCAACTCTGGGAAAAAGATAACACCTCGCCTGAACAGAATCTGCTCTGCCTGACACATTCCCTGCTGGACAATAAATCTGAGTTTGCTTTTCTCCTTCTACCACGCAGCCATTTGCTGTGAGAAAAAAGGGTCTCGCCGCCGCGTATGTCTCAGCAGATGAAGAAACTGGCTGAGAAAAGTAATTTACTTGTGGTCACACTCATGAGTCCTGGGAGTCATCGCATTATGAGCCCTGTAGCGTGCAGACTGAGAGATATCAGCAGGGGGAGAAGGCTGCGAGGAGCTTCAGATGACTGTGCATTACATCAAAAGAGAGGTGTGGTAAATACATGAATATGTCATGTGCAGGGGAAGAACTTCTTAAAAAATGTGGCAGGAAAAAGGACAGAGCGAAGAGTGGAAAACAATCCTCAGGAGCGCAATACTTCTTAAAACCTGGATCTGGATGACAGAGAATGGCCTAGGTTGAAATGCAGAAAATCTATGAAGCTAATATGCAGAACCAACAGGTTTGTTTGTGTACAGCCTGTCTGGAAAAGCGCCAATTACTGTTCCACACTGTGCACACAGATGCATCACAAATTACCATTTTTTAGAGAAATCCTTCTCCAGCTCATGGGTGGAAACCATTTGCTGCCCACACACACTTTTTGGGCTGCAAACAAACAGAACAACAACAGTAGTTCAGAGTGTGTTTTGTTTGTGCTGACCCAATTTAACCTGATATTTTCAAGGGGCGGATTTGCTTATGCAGCTGGTTTTGTTATTGAAACATCATTGCAATTTGACATTGCTGCATATGTGCCCATTAACCCCCTACATAGCATGCATGGTCACCACAGGGAGGAGGGGTGAGGGGATGGAAGGAAGAGAGTGGTGGGTGGAAACACACAAAGACACATACAGATTTCTCAAGGAGGGATTATATTTTTTTTTTAATGAGGCAGACTGATGCTTCCCTATTTTATGCTTCAGCTAAACAAAGCTATATCGAGTTTAATCATTAAAAGACACATATTCTTTTTAACTGAAAAACGTGTAGCAACATGGACATGTTATTTTTTTTCCTGTCGTTATGAAATGTATTATCTGTTTTTCAGTTAAACTTGTGAATTCGGAAACACACACGCTGGATTTCATTGTATTTAAAAGTGAGTGTCTGTGTGTATTTGTCTCCGTGTGTGTGTGTGTGTGGGGGGGGGGGGGGGGGGGAGACGCACCAAACTGGCAGACCCTGGCTTTTTGTTCCAAGGTTAAGTTAGCCTCTGCTCAACAGTGTTGTCACTGGTTGCGGTAGCTTGTGTCTGACAGGATTTTGCGCACGCTGGGTCAACAAGCACGAGGGCTTGAGTCAAGCATGTGCGGATTTATTTATGAAGAGAAAAAAAAAACGTTACGCGCGCCGTCGTTTAATTGGCCATTAAGGGAAAGTAACATCAGTGTCGCATTGTGGAGCCATTTGACTGTCCTGATATGTCAAGCCATTTAAACAACGCCTTTGTCTCAACTGCACACACACAAACACACACACAAAAAAGCCCCACATGTGTTGCTTTTCACTGCCCATAACAGCACTTATTTCCCGGAGCACACCTCTATCATACAGCATGCAGCGCCACATCCCCACTTCCACATGCGAGGGAGACCTGTTAAACCATCACTTACACTGCGGTAGCCTCACACAAACAGCAGTTGTTGCATGTGAATGAAACATTGTCATGGAGCGCGTTTCCAATCATCCCCGACTACAATGTTTGCAGCGACATGTGCGTAACCCATAATAAACACCGATATAAGCATTTAAAGAAATAATAATAAGCTCACCAGCAGATATAAAGGGATGTGTTCTAGCTGTTTCTTCTCTCCCGACTGGCTTTCCTTGGAGTTAATGAGCTTCTTGTTCGGACTGATTTCTCTCTCAGCTGTTATTGTCCACAGTTTTTTTTTGTTTTTTTTCTTTCTTTTTCTCCAGCGGTGAAACAATAAGCCGAAATCGGCGTCCTCTCGCAAAGCTCTGCCCTCTTCAAACTACCCTTCCCGCCCCCTCCGTCTATCCATCTCAGATTGGTGCTGGTCAGGAGGGGCAAACCCTGAACCCGGGGGCTGATTTAGAGGCGGTTATCTGTCACTCGCGGATCAATGCCCACATGGACATGAGGTGGACGTTTGCGCAAAGGGCTCACTCTTTACCGACCAGCTTGTCACGGATGCTGTCGACAGCTGGAGGGAACTCTTTTTTTTTCTTCTCACCCCCCGCCCCCCCACCTCTCTCTCTCCTTTTGCACAAAAACCCTCCCAGGCGAGATACAGCAGTGAGTGGGCCCACTTATTCTGTGGGCTCCGCGCGGTGCCAGGACTGACGCAGGTGCCCAAGGTCCATCCGCGGCTGACAGTTGCCGCTGCCTCTGACAGTGATATAGCAACCTCATGTGAGTCATTGCAGTGGGAGGAAAAGGGAGCAGATCATTCCCCACTCTGTGACCTTGGGTTGGTGTGTGGTCTGATCAGAGGGAACTGGGTAAAATATGGGCAAGTGAGGAGAAAGAAAAATTAGACATCTCTCCATCACAAGGTGCCCTTGTGCAAAGCACCTCTCACCCCTGCTCATGCAGCGGTAAATAGTACAACAGTGTGCCGGCACTGTGCCAACTCCCAGGTGTGTTGGTGTGAACAGCAGGCAGTTTCTGACCTGATTTTGTTCTCTGTGACACAAACATTTAAATATATTACTACTGGCAGAATTGGACAAATGAGTGACCTCTCAGTCACATTTCAGTCATATTTCAAATTAAAAATTAAAGCTGCCATGGATTTCGATAATTACCTCTGCCATGGAGGTCATGTTTCCCATTTGTCTGTCAGCAGGATTACGGAAAAACGACAGGACCAATTTTAATGTAACTTGGTGGAAGGTTTAAGCATGGGCATAGAAAGAACATATTACATTTTGGAACACATTGTAATCACATGCTGGAAGTAAGGTTCATTTTCCTTAACATTGGGATTAGTGCTGCATTCACATGGTGTTGGAATAATCAGAAACTGATTTGCGAGCTGTGAAAATTCACATGAATGCCCATTATGTCGGAACAGAAAGTCAACGAAAGATTATACCTTTTTCGAGCTCATCTGAACCACTTGCAGTGCTTTTCATTGTCAAAAAGTGAAAACACTCTGAGCTAAAATAAAAATAAAAGACCTTCAAAGATTCTTCTCTCTAGCTTCTATGCTGTCTCTAATTTACATGTACGACTGAAGCTCCCGAACACACTAAAGTCAGAAGAACAGATTCCCAACTCAGAAAGGAACCATCCAAGAGCACAAGAATGCAGCACTGACCTTTAATGTGATCCATTTAATATAACTTTTTATTTATTCTGGCCATGGTACTGCAAAATAAAAAAGAGAAAATTCAAATCACAATTCCCCAGTTTTACATATTACTGAAGTGCAAATCGGCTTTAAAGTGGTCGTTGTATACTGATGCTTAAAATGATGCTTATCTTTATTGCTGAAGATTATTTGCAACATGATTACCTTTTGGTATCTAATAATCTAATCCTGACTCCTTATTTGTTTGCTAACCATGCAACATATCCTATTTAATTACCCTGCTGTATTTACTATATATTAAGATAGCGCACAGGTTGCTCTCATGGTATTATTTGGTTGAACAGTTCTCAGACAAGCATTAAATCAGAATAAAGGTTGCCTGTTAACAGGAACGGCAATTGAGAGAAAGAGCATGCTGTGTGCTTAATAACAATTTAATAACATATATATCTTTGGAAATTAACATCAGAATGCTGTTCAAACTGCCCTTACATTTACAATATTGCTGTTAAATGTTACACAGTATTTGTGCTAATATATTCTCTGTGACTGGTAGTCCTTAAAATAGTGCTCCTTGGATGCTCATGAAATCAGACTGCTTTAGAGAGTGCTTAAACAAAATAAAGACTTAATGTTCATGAGTAATAGATGAGCAACTTTCGTAGCCAAGTCCTCTGAGATTTGAGTTATCATATCTGCTCAGCATAAACCTTTAGGTGACTTATAGTAACCCTTTGAGTTCATTTAATATAGACAATACAACAAAGGAGCAATTCCATGTTTTCAAACCAGAAGTGTTTTTTCAAGTGGTCATTGACACTTTTGTTTTGCTTTTATAATTGTTATGTAAATGTTGATAGCACAATGTCTTGGTTCCCTATAAGCATTGTTTCAGCCTAGATTTACGGCACAAAAGAAAAGCTTCAACCTTTATAACAACAGGAAGAGGAGAGCATGTTTACCCGGTAGCTATCAATCTAAGTTATTGCAGTTCCTTAGTAGAGGTAGGACATTTGGTAATTGGGGAACATAGGAGTAAATAGGAAAGTTTCGGGGGCCCTATTGTACTTTTTGGGTTTCCCCTTTTCTGTAATGTGCCATATAGGTTTGTGTGCATGTAAATGGTCTGCAAAGGCTAAAATCCCAAAGTTCCCTCCAGAGGGAGTTTCTCTCCTGCACACTCCCCCCTGCCTGAAACGCCTCCATTGGACTCCTTTTACTTCCGTTACATAGTGACATCACTACATAACACTTGCGCTTCTTGGCTAGCTCTCCAACACATTGTACGTGATAGTCTAAAGGCACATGTGTCAAATCAGGCCCTTGGTGGATTTAATTTCGGCCCGCAGGATAATTTCTAATTACTATTAGATCTGGCCCGCCGGTATATTGCACCTTCACTCAATCCTGAGGGTCTCCTCAGCTCAGAGCCTGAGCCCAAACATTGATGAACTTGCACCCAAGATGAGATGCCAAGTATCTGGCTTGGACTAGCATCACAGAGCAGCACACTGAGTTTCAATGGATGTTTCCTTCTGCACTTTTTTTCTTGCGACAACAGGGCATGTTTGTTTTTTTCTTTGAGGGAAATAGTTTTTTTTAAGCTGTTGTTGACCTGTGGAAAAATGTAATCATAAGAAATGACTCTGGAAAATCTGCAGATAGAGCCATAAGAAATTAATGCAACTGATTATTTAATGTTTAATGTTGTTTTTATAGGCAATAATTTAAGCTTTGTTAGTTCCAGGTTTAATATGTGCAATAAGTTCATTTCAATAAGTTTTGCAATAAACGTTGAACCAGTCCGGCCCTCGACTAGTACCCATTTTTATATTTTGGCCCACTGTGTATTTGAGTTTGACACCCCTGGTCTAAGGGGAGAGACACCTCTAAGCGGATGACCAATTACAACAGATCCGGCCAGCTAACCAATCAGAGCAGACTGCTCTGGTTTCAGACAGAGGGTGAAAAGAGGTGCTGCAGCACAGGCAGTATGAGAAAAATAAAGAGCTTTTTGAACATTAAAGCATTTAAACATGTCACATTAGAGGCACAATATTATGCAACCTGGACATTTGCATAATATAAATGTGACGCAGCTCAATGGGGCTGCTGTTAAAACCTTTGAACCTGCGATTTACCTTCCCTTTCCCCAGTCCCTGTGACTTTAGTTTGAACTTCAAGACAGTACTTGACTGTCACCACCTATTGCACAGCTTTTATTGAAGCGAAAGTCAACTCACCTCCCTGTGAGGTCCACCCCGAGGTTTCTCATCCTCACCCCCATAATTGAGTTACCGTGGAGAGGTTTCCCCTCACTCTCACCAAGGGTATAGGTTGGCGGTGCTATTTTAATTCATCGTTTTCATTTATTGTTTCATTGTGAAGCCCTTTGAGACTCTAATTGTAATTAGAGGCTGTAATAAACTTGATTTGCTGTGAGCTCCTTTGGGCGAGGAGAGGGAGAGGCGGCGGCCAGCTCTGCCAAAGAGCCTGTGAGCCACGAACCAAAGAAAATTCATCCGTACTCCCCCAAAGCGAAATGGTACCCTGCCCATATCATCAATGTCACCTGCTGCATCCTGGCTTATTTCTTTAAGTTATCTTCTTCTTTGTTTTAATGTGCAACCTCCTAGCACTATTGCAAATATGGCCAACTGAAAGCAAAACATTTCACGCCGCTTTTCTGTCTTACATTTATTTTTGTATATGTGGCTAAGCAGGAGCTCTACAATGGACAAACACGGTGTGCCATTTCCACACTTTCTACGCTTACCAAGTGCCTCATAGTTAGTTTCCTTTCAATAATTCCTTGAGCTTGCATAATCATGTCCTCCAGCTAATAATTATAAACTCTAGGAAAACTGACACTGAGGTATGTGTACGTCTTGGCTGCTTTTGTTAATTAGTCCCAGCTTGCGGACAAAGAATTGTTGGCTTTTGAAAACGCTGTTTGCAGAAAAAGCCATGGCTCATTTTAATAATTGACTTGATAAATATAAGTGCAGCATACAACAGACTATATGGGAACAATTAAGTCGCTGAGGTTTTTCTCAAGTTCACAAACCAGTGGTGGAGTGAAAGTAAAGGTACTAATATCACACTGTAAAAATACCTATTCTCAAGTAAAAGTATCGAGAATGGTACTTAAGTAAAAGTACTATTAGGAAAATGTTCTTAAGTATTAGGAGTAAAAGTACTCATTGCAGGAAAACTCAACATATATTTATATATTTTAAATTATTTTAAAGCAAAAGCAGCATTTATACATTTAGAGAGCTGGAACTGAAATATTGTTGAACGAAAAAAACAACTCAATTGCATTAGTTTTCTGTTGACCCACTCATGGTTTTAGTGACTTAAATATGATGTTGGATGGTTTAATCTTTACCAAATAATAATATTTAAAAAATCCCAAGTATTCTGTGTCAAAATCTTATTTTATAAAGGAACAAGCAAATAAAACTGTAAAATAAATGTAGATGAGTGAAAAGTACAACATTGGCTACCAAAATCTAGTAGAGTATATATAAAGAAGTATAAGTATGTGTACTTAAATACTTTCTCCCACTCACAAATTGATTGAAACTGACCATTACTGCAAAATTCACGTCGAAACGCTGTCTTCTCAGTCGTCAAATTATTTGAGGACTTAAGACCCAGAGGTTGTCTTTCCAGTTTAGATTTGAATAAGGAATATTATCTTCTGATAACACCTATACTTCTGTCGGTCACTCCAAGTGACACCCATGGGCCTCAAGAAATGTTGTCGGCAAAAATGTTGTGAACACGTGTATCTGAATGTCTAAGGTGAACAATCTCATTGTAACCACCTACTTTTGCTTTTTGCTTTTCTCCCATTTTCATTTTTCTGCGTGTAATGAATTTGACCTTTTTTCT